TCTTCTTATTTATGCAACTTCTAGGATGAACTGCGCTTTTGCCTTATCACTTTATTTTACTGCTTTATTATTTTAATTGATAGGAAAATTATGCTGGTTGTCTGAAAAGTCATGCATATTTTTCTATGTTTTTCTATACAAAAATGACTTTTCCAACGACGCAGTATTCTAAGACATATAATGAAGTGCACACAGTTTGGGTCTGAGCTTTTGAAAGCAAGTAAATGTGGAAAGGTGATGGGCTCTCCCAAGCTCAAAGAATGTTTCAGTTTTGTTGTTTTTGTTTTTGTTTTTGGAGAGCTTTTTGCTATAGGGCATGTGTGCTCGCCAGAAAGATCAAGAGAGACAGAGAGACAGAAAGCAAGAAATCAGAGGGGGATGGCCCGGCCTCAATCCCTTCTCCTCCATTCTTTTCTTGGGATCTTCAGCACGCGCGCACACGCGCCCAGCGTTGAGTTTAAGCCACCAGGTCTGGGACTCAAACCACGGTAGTCTACATGAGAGTTCAGTGACATAGCCATTACGCCATCAGCTTGTCAAGAGAATGTTTCAGTATTAATATCCCCAAATACTGACATTTCATTCAGTTTGTTTATGGATTTTTCTTGGAGCAAGAGAAAGATGTACTTTCTCCCAGCTAATTTGGACCTTAACAATATTTTCAGAGCCAGCAATGGTGCGGTGGTCACACAGCATTCTGAGGGAGGACCCATGAGGGACGGTGGCAGGTTACGGTCTGGAGGTCTCTGCATACACTGTATGGATCTGTGATCCAGGCTGGCTGTGGCTGGGGGGTATTGGGGTACAAGGACCCCACTGGGGGTACCTGTCTCTCTCTCCCCCTTTCCCAGGTGGTTCAGCCCCTCTTCACCTTCCGCCAGCGTCCAGCATAATAAATTAATCATGTGTGGAGACTCTGTGTGTCTGGGCCTCAGTTCTTCTTCTTTTTTTAATTTTTAAAATTTATTTATTTCCTGCAAGAGTCCCTGGCCACATTCTACCCCCAGCCAGCCGTCAACCCCAGGTCATGGCTAAGTGTATGTCTCACATACGCAGGGTGGTCTACAGACTTGAACCAGAAACCTCCTCAGGTGGGATTCCCTCACAGGGCGTCACATTGTACCACTGCTCCACCGTCTGGCCCTGGCCTCAGTTCCTCTGAACGTGAGAAGTGGAATGACATAATCTCCGAGATCCTCTCATATTACCACTTTATAATTCCACATCCTGCTTTATGATTCCCACAATCTAGCCAATTTAGAGGAATGTTAAAACTTCCTTTCAGAGACACCCTGATTCATGTACAGAAACTCTTGTCGTTTACACAAGGAAAATTGTTTTATTGAGAGCGTTATGTTGTGTTTAGCAAGAGAACATATCTGTCACCTGTGTGTTGACTTTTTACTTCACAGCAAGATTCCAGCAGCAGATACAGCGCATTGAACGTCCAACATCAGATGCTGAAAGTGAGTAACTTAAAGTTCTTCTTCACAAATAAAAGAAAGGATTAACCAATATTTGAAATGATTAATGGTCTTTAAAGTAATTACAGAAAGGTTTTTTTTTTTTTTTGAGAGGTTTTTGCGATAGGACACATGAGCTTGCCCTAAAGACAGAGAGACAGAAAGCGAGAAATCACCCTCCCAGGGGGGATGACCACGCCACAATCCCTTTTCCTCTATTCTCTCGGGATCTTGGGCACGCACGCACACGCGCCCAGCATGAGTTTAAGCCACCGGGTCCGGGACTTAAACTGCGGCTGGCTATATAGGAATCCAGCGACATAGCCATTATACTAACTGCTGGTCCCAAAAGTAATTACAACAAGCTTATAAAAAGTTGATTTGTATTATAAGTTGGCATATTAAAATATATTTGACTTAAAATTACATATATGTTGTATTGCCCCATCATATTTGCCATCTGATTACAAAGAATGTATTTAATACATTACACGTTTTCTTATATATCAGACTCTAGGGGTACCTAATTTTTAATTTTATTCTTCTCTTCATCCTGAAGGTTTTAATTTAATTTATCACAGTAGTTTTTCTTAGACATTTTCTTTGATTTTAGACAGGCTGAAGACTGTGATACTATTTACATCCTTTAGAGTTACTGATATTTACTAAGTGTCTTTTACATAAGAACATAAGTCATTATTATCTAAGATTCTCCTTCCTGGGTCCTTGGGCAAAATTCACTGAATGTCAGGAGGTGCCCAAAATAATGAGAAAGAGAGGGTCATTGTTTCTGTCAGGCTGAAGAGCCGAACTGCACGCCATTCTGCACAGCGGGAGAATGGCACCACGACCCGCACCTGCCAGGCCCTTTGCTTTCTGTGTAGAGGTGGCTTTCTGTCCCCTAATGTCACTGGGACAACTACTTGAATGGAAACCAGGACCATCTCTACTATGAAGGGTGCAGTAAATGGTTTAAAGCAGAATCTACTTTCACAGTAAACTTCTGGGGACTGTATAGCGCATCTCTGCTGTGATCACGGTGCAGAATTATAATCAGAAATGAGTTCCTTAAACAGTTAGTTCACTACTTCCCCAAGGAGAAAAGAGATTGTTTTTGTTCAGTCCCACCTTTATCTCTCTAAACTGGATTACCAGGAAGGGTGAAAACCAAAGAAAAGAAATCTGATGACTTGCTGAGCAAACATCAGATCGAAAAGAGGAACTTCTGTTAAATTCTTTCGTTTTCATTGATGTGAAAAATGAAGGGGACAAGTATTCTTGGCTCATATCCTGAGCTCTTCATTTGAACTGGAGGAGGAATGCAGGGGAGCGCACTAATGAAAAGCAAGCGGAGGACAAGGACGCCTCCTCACTCATGAATACCCACTTTCTTGTAAAAGCAAGTGTTTGTATAAGAAGTCAGCCGTTCGTAACCGCGATGGTGTGTCACTCTGCTCACCTATCCGTTTTTGCAGAGTCAACACGAGGAACTGAAGAAGCAGCACAGTGACTTGGAAGAAGAACATCGCAAACAAGGAGAAGACTTCAGTAGGACCTTCAATGACCATAAGCAGAAATATCTGCAGCTTCAGCAAGAAAAAGAACAAGAACTTTCCAAGTTAAAAGGTATTCTAAGTCTAATTAGCTATTTTATGGGAAAATTAGTACCTTTATGTATGTTTCGGTAGAACACTAGACTTGTTCGGTTGTTTTCATGTGGTGACTGATTTATACTCACATGTAGTTCTAGATCAACCATTTGCTTTTTTGAAATATTTCACGTTTCTCTTTATCGCTTGGTTTGTTTAGAGAAGAATATGTGGTGTATCTGTTGTGTCTCAATGGGGCACCAGGTTCTGTTGGACAAGACAGTTCTCTTATGTGCATTGCAAGACATTGAGCATCTCTGAGCCCTACCCAGTAAAAGTCTTCAACACTCCTCAGTGGTTGCTATGATCACAAATTACTCCTCACATTTCTAGACATCTCTCCAAGGGGCAGAAAGACTGCTACTGATTGTTCATAGTGGCTAGGAAAAGCTCAAGTGCTAGAGGCAGGCCACCTAGGGGGAATCTTGGCTTCTTAATTGTTGGTTATGTGACCATGGGTGAGTTGTATTATCACCACAAGCTTCATTGTCCTTACTGGTAAAATTGGGATGATCATGAGAAGGGTCAACCCTGTAGGGTTGGTATGAGGGTTAAATATCTTATGTCAAGCATCTAGAGTAATTACTCGTACATGGTGCATTAGCTGTCATGAAAATCAGTGTTGTGTATTTTCACAGTAATTCAAGACAAGATATGTCATGTGTCTGAATACATGTGAGCTCTAGAAAAGGAGACCAGTGCATTCCACAGTGAAATATTTAGACGCTAAATAAGTTTAAAACAAGAGAATTGGTTATATAAGACACATGGTACATGGACAGGGGAAACAGCGGTGAAATGTGGACAAGGTCAGTAATCTTGGTAATTGTATTATGTCCAACAGTTTCCTATTTTGGTAGTGCCCCACTTTTATATGAGGTGTTACAGAGAAAAGTGGGGCGATGGGTACTTAGGACCTCTCTGTGCTATTTTTGGGGCAACGAAAAGGCACACAGGGGTGCAGTGGTCATGGAGGCAATTCTACGGAGGGGTACTGTGATCTTGGTAGAGTAGGGCCAGGAGCTGGTAAATGATACAGAGATGTGGCTGTGAGGGGCCTTGGCTGGCTGGAGACGTGGAGGCAGTGATGGACTGTAGGTGACAACAGAACAGAAAGGGAGATTGAACACCAGACGTCCTCACCAAGGATAAAGGAAGAGGGAGGCAGAGGATGCCAGTCAGGTACTTTGGCTGTGCCTGGGGAAGCCACGCCTTTGTGTGCAGAGTGAAGACACATTTGGCTTATTGAGTCCGGTGTTCTGCATTTGCCAAGCTGAGTGAATACATTAAATTATACTGATAATAAGTAGGTTCATTAAGGAATGGAACTAACATGTTTTAGGTGTCTGATTTGTGCCTGGCATACTTTAAGCACCTTATATAATTTAGTACATTTAATTTTAGCAGTAGTCCTAAAAGGCAGGGTTTTTTTATGTCTACTTTATTTTCACCTTACCAAAAAGAAAAAAAAAATCCCAGTATAGTAAAAATTCCACAGATTTACATAGAAGTAAGAAACCAGAACCATGGAAAATAGAAAGACACACATCAGTGAACTCCAAGTACTAAGATAATTCAAATCTCATTACCTGGTATGAACTTCCAGACAAGAGAGGAAATACAGTAAGTTCTAAGACTCTTGTTATCAGAAATAGAATCTACCAATGCCTTAGGAGAGGAAAAGAAAGACCAAGAGTATTTTTCTGGTACAAAGTACCAGTTTGTAGAAGAAAATTTTCAGAGACCTGATTGACAACAGAGTGTAACAATTGCTTTTGCATTATTATTTTTTTTAAGAGAGATTTTTGTTGTAGGGCATGTGTACTCACCAGAGAGACAGAGAGAAAGTGAAAAATCATCCCCCAGGGGGGATGGCCATGCTACAATTTCTTCTCTTCCATTCTCCTCTCAAGATTTTGGGTATGCACACACACACACCCAGCATGAGTTTCAAGCTGCCGTGTCTGGGATTCAAACCACAGTTGGCCATATGGGAGCCTAGTGCCTTAACTACCATGCCACCTGCTAGCCCCTGGCCATTGCTTTTTATTTATTTATTTATTTTTGGAGAAGTTTTTTTTTATTTATTTATTTTGGAGAGGTTATAGGGTGCGTGCACTTGCCAAAAAGACAGAGAGTGATAGAGAGACAAAACGCGAGAAATCACTCCCCGGGGGATGGCCACGTCGCAATCCCTTTTCCTCCATTCTTCACTCGGGATCTTGGGAATGCATGCATGCACCCAGCGTGAGTTTAAGCCACCGGGTCCAGGACTCAAACCACGGTCGACTACATGGGAGTCAGTCCAGTGACATAGCCATTACACCAACTGCTGGTACCCCACCCTCGTCCCTGCCCATTGCTTTTAAAAAGCAATTTTAACATCAGCACTTTTGTTGGGTTTTGCTTCTTGACTGAAACCTAGGACAGTAAGTTGAAGCATTTTGTGATCAATATAGGTCAATAGTGGCTAACAAACATGTGTAGTCTAAGTAGTCTGTGATACAAAGAAAGCATTTAGAACTCCTAGGAAAGAATGCTAATAGCATGTGAGCTTAGATAATTATTCTTCATTATCATCATTATAATAGTTGACACGTAGAAGATGTCCACCACGTGTCAGTACTGGGTGAAACTCTTCATGTGGATTGTCTATTTAATCCTCACAACAACCTGTAGAGGTAGACAGTGGGTTGAGCCTCATTTAACAAGTAAAGAAATCAAAGCCTACTAACAAGTTAAATCATTTACTTGAGGTAACACAGCAAAGGCATAGGAACTACTGCCATTCAGGTTATCATCTGAGATTCCCTTAAAAGTCAGCAAAGTTTGACTATTTTGTGTGTACATGTGTGTGCGCACTTGTGTGTGTGTGTGTGTGTTAGTCTACAGCCCCATCCAACCAATGACATATTAAGGTCCTTAGAGATGGTCATTAGTGTTCTGTTTGGAACTTTGAGAAAACCCATTAGTACATGCAGGTGGACACCTCAACCACTGGTCCCATTTTGCACTTCTCCTTCAACCCCAGTCATGAACCCAACCTCCAGAGACTGTGGGAAAGTGAAAGATGCCAGGAAATAGGATGAGAGACGGTGGCCAACATTTCCCTTCTGTGTCAAGTGTGTCAAGGCCTTTTCTGCAGCAAGTGACTGTCGTTTAGGGACAGTTGGCCCTGCAAAGCCCAGGTTTACACCTACAGCCCCAACAAAATTCTTAATAACACTGCTCACTCTCCAAAGTATTTCCCGTTGGAAAGTAAATTATATTGTCATTCCATCACAACTCAACTTGGAGTGTCATTGCATGAGAATTGGCCCAGTGATCAGATTTTGTCAAACCAGATTCTTGAGTTTTAAATGACCACAGCTGTTGGAATGTGGAAGTCACTGTATAGGACAACATGGCAGGGGCATGACAAATGTGTGTGGGGGTTGGATCTGGCTTAACAGCTGCCCAGTCTTAATGTCTAAGGTCCAGATACATTGGATGTGAGAAAATTCCAACAAAATAGAGATGGGTCTAGAACTTTTCATTATGGGACTGTTCCCTGAACATTAGGACTTATGATGGGATATTTTAGAACTTCACTCTGACTGCTATAATCTTACAGCTGTAACTCTGAAAAGAACTGGCTGCAGCTCCTGGAGATACACTCTAGATCGATCATGAACGCCAGGGTAGGAGAGATGAAGATACTCGGAAATTTTCAAGAGAAGGGAGATTTCTGTCTCTCTCTTACATCTTGAGTTGCTTTTATAATTGGAATAGCTTTTGGAGACTGAAAATTATCCATGCTATGAGAAATAGGGTCTGTACTTTGTGATACTTTATTTTTTGGTTTGCAAAGCGACTCCAATGTGAAGTCACTCCTGCTCATTACATTTTATCCCTTAGGGTTGCTTGTTAATAGAATATTCCATTAATTACTCCTGAGTAATTAATAATCTTCGCTTTTCATTTGCAATGGGTAGCTTGTTTGACAATGTTTCAGCTACTGGGGGCCAGCAAGTGATATGGTGGTTGAGGTGTTGGACTCCCACATGTCCAACTGTGGCTTAAGTCCTGGACCTGGCAGTTTGCTTTCTCACTTTCTCTCTCTCCCTCTCTCTCTTTCATCAAATTAAAAAATAATAAGAATAAATAAAATTAAATAAATAATTCTTTTTAAAAATGTTTAAGCTACTGAACCAGGTTATATTGGAATGTTCAGTTGAATACCTGCTACACCCAAATTTGATATTATTTCAGTTGATTTGGAATATATGCTGTCAAAGTTCAAAAGAAATTCCTAAAGTAAGTTACATGAGGCTTTAGATGCGAAAATAATAGAATAGAAAGCCTGGACATTTCAGGGCTTTATGTGTGATTTTTTTTTCTTTTTCTAAAATAGAAACTGTGTACAATCTGAGAGAAGAGAATAGACAACTGAGGAAAGCACACCAAGACATCCACACGCAGCTTCAAGATGTCAAGGTACATGAAACGGAGCCCTGGCTTGCTCTACTTTGTAGAGTGACCTGAAAAGTCATTCCCTAAGTGACCTGCTTGACAGATCTAGCCTGTTATTGTGGGCTGTGCCTAAGCCAGAGCCTACCCAAGTCAACATCTTAAGCCAAAAAACTGTCTGAAAAATCTAAACATGTTCATCAATACTGAGATGAGGCTTTGGCTAGATGGTTGCATTTTTACTGAGCTTTTTATTTACAACAGTTTATTAATAATAGAAGATGTGTTCCTTTGGTTTTGATTTCATTATAAATGGTTGATAACTTGGGTACCACAGTTTAGATGTTGGAATACCAGATAAATTATAAATCATAGTCTTCTCTTAGGTTAATTCTTAAACTTAAAAAAATGCGGCTGCAAGAACAAACAAGTAGACACACGTGGAACGTTTGAGTGGTCACACCACTGTCAGCCCGAGAAGCCGTTATCTTAAAATGTTAAATTCTGTTTTATGTAGCAACAACATAAGAACTTACTCTCCGAGCATGAGCAACTTGTAGTGACTCTGGAAGACCACAGGAGTGCACTAGCTGCTGCACAGGTTAGAAGGGTAGCAGCCTCCACTGGTTCTCTTTCAAGTCTGCTTAACGTTTCTGAGTTTCTTTATGCATGTAGTCTCTGACAAGTTACTCTGCAGTGAATTCATTAGCACTGAGCTATCCTAATTCTGAGGTCCGTGCATGCTTTCAAAAACTCAATCAAGAGAATATTAAATAAACTTCTGATTATTCCATGGACTGGTCGTGTTGTGTATATGACCAGTTCTATCCCTGCCAGTTCCTACGTGCAATGTGCTTGAATCATAGACTTAATCTAATATGTAAGGTTTTTTGCACCTGTCTAATCTATGTTGACTCTTGGTGTAGGACTTACAGGAATTTATGATGCTAGCTACTAAAATAAATTATCGTGAGACATTTCTTCTGTTCCTTGTTCGCCCCCAGCATTTCAGCCTCCACACACTCGTTTTGGGACTAGGCTTTGGTGTTGTTGGTCAGATTACAGAAAAGAAGAAGTGTCAATAGAGAGGGAAAAACAAGAGTCCTAAGTTCCATTTGTTCAAAGCCCAGAGCAGCCCTTGGCACAAGGCAGACCCTCAGTATATTTTTGCTGAATGAAGAAGTGAACAAATACAAGTTTTGGTGAACTTTTTAAAGTGATACTATACCAGGTAGTGTCAGCTTTCTAGTAGAAACAAACAAACAAACAAAAACAGGAATGAGTAGCTTAGTCACTCAGCTAGGTTTTCATTTTTCTTTTCATTGGAATAAAGCTGAGAAAAGGAAAAGTCACTATCTATGCTCATCAGGAGACCATGTGTAATTTGTTTGTCTTATAAAATTATTGCAAAGAATTGATACACTGAGCTCTGATTCATCTCAGAAGCTGCAGGGCCTGCAGTGGTGGGACCCCTTTTCAAGATGGTCATTAACTGGGTGTCTCTATACTGAACTGTGGCTGCGTGGTGATTTTTTTATGTGTGAATAAATTAAATTGACTCTAGAAAAGATTATATCATTCTAAATCTTCTTCATAAAGTGTTTGCTCTTTTTGTTTTATATAGGGCTGCTCTTTATACTGTAAAATGTGACAAACTGATTTGAATGCTCTTGTGTGCTATAATGACCACAGTATCTGCCTAAACCATCATTTGAAAATCCATAAAAAGATCAGTAATAATGTTTGTTTGGTAACTAGATTCTGCAGTAAGCACATTGGCAGTATTACGGAGAGGGTTTAGTGATAGAAAAAAATTACTTTTATTGAATCTCTTTGTAGTTTTCTGTTTCTTTAAATTTCTTTTTTGGGGGAGGGTATGCCCAAGTTTGTCCTGCTCCCCCCGTAATAGGGTACAGGGTACAGTATTTCATTAGAGTCATATTCTTAGTTTCTAATTGCAGCCACAAAATACCGTAGACTGGATGCCTTATAAACAGCAGAAATGTATCCTTCCCAGTTTGGCAGGGTGGAAGTCCCAGGCCAGTAAGTACAGTCGGGTTCTGGCAACGGCCTTTCCCAGGTCCCAGACTACAGACTCCTTGTGTTCCACATGGCAGAGCTCTCCAGAGTCCCGTTCATGCAGGTGCCAATTCCATTCCTGAAGGCTTCACCCTTGTGAATTGCCTTTGAAAGGCCCTACCCACAATACCATCACATAGGGGGTTAGGATTTTAACATAGGAATTTTGGAAGGATGCAAACGTTCATTCCATTACACCAATTTAAAACTTTCCCCAAAGTTTCTCAGAAAATGAATGCCTCATCTCAGGCTTGGACGGTTTTCATGTAAATCATCGTAGGAGAGACTGTCTTGACAACGTGATGTGCCCCAAGGGAACGCCTTTTCATGCTGTACCAAGGTGTGCCATGTGACTAGCAGTGGCCCCTTTGTCTTATCTCGATAATCTATCTGAGGATTTTATTTAACCCTTATTAGTGAGTGGTGTGCCATTGTCTGCTTTTATCCCCCAAATCCGCTGAGGCCAAAGGGGAAGTAAAGAAGTTGGCCCAAGATCAGGGACCAGAGCCAAGCCTGAAGTTCAAGTCATCTTGACATCAAAGTCACACATAAGCAAGACCTTTCAAGAGTTCCTTGCATCACAGATACCTGGGTTTTACCCCAGACCTACTGAATTATCATTTCTAGAGCAGGAACCTAGGGGCCTGCATTTTAAGTGATGGTCCTTAATGCACTGATATTTGAGAACCTCAGCCTCACTGCCTTCAAAGGCTGTATCTCTAGGAGGAGAAAGAAAATGGCTAGAATTGATTGCTGTGTATTTCTCTATGTATATCTTAAAATAGTAAAAGGTTCACTCTGTCATTTGTTCTTTCTCTGACCTCCAGGTTGGTTTGTAAATGTCCTGATAGATTTTTGAGATAAGGGGGAGGGGACTGCCAGCCACATGGTACACCTTTACATACAGCATGAAAAGGCATTCCCTTGGGGTACATTTGGCAAGCAGACTTCACCTTTCTGTAAAATACAGAGACAAAAGGCACCTCCTCCCCAGGGTGGAAGACCACAGCAGGGGTGGGGGCACCCAGCCGATTCCAGCCCTCGCTGCTATGCCCTGCATACCAAGGAAGCTTGTTTAGAAAATGATGTCTGTGTTCTTCTTATGTGTTTCTGTGAGTACGTTTTTACACACCGCATTTCCAACACTGTCGGTGTGTGTGATCACCTAAGTATACGCAGTGTCTGTTGATTTTCTTAGTTAAGGTTATTGATCTTTTCATGCCTTGCTAGCTCCTTGTAGTAAAAATATTACACAGTCACACACACACCCTACCACATATGCACACGCGTACACTCTTAGCCCCGTGCGGGCCATGTACCTGCATTCGTACCTTTGTCACTTCAGATGAAAATGGCATGTCAGGACTGAGGACTGAAACATCAGCCTCGCCTCATGTATGTCACTGCTTACAGAAATCAGAACACGGTTGGAAGGGCTGTGGCCAATCAGGGACTCTATTAAGTACAAATGGAGGGGAAATGGTGGCTCAAGGGAAAATTTCAAAAATTTAAAAATACAAAGATAAATAAATATATGCAAAAACATTTACATTTTTATATATTTATATTTATATATATATATATATTAAATGTATGCATTTTAAGCTGTTAAAAACAAACTTAGACAAACCAAAATTTAACAGAGTTTGTTTAAACAAAGAGCAGGCGATTTAAATCGGGAAGCCTCCCGGAAAGTGGTTTCCGAGAGACCACGGCTAGCCACGTGGTTCACGGGGAGTATATGTGGGCGGAACGGGAAAGCGACATGTGCCGTGAAGAGAGAAGGTACCTACAAACATGTTAGGTGAGGGAGTGAAGTAGAGAGATCATTGGTTACAGGTAGAAGGTAGGCTGCATGGATAGGCCGAAAGGTGGGCTTTCTGTGACCGACTGAAATGTGACTAGCGTGATTGGCTATAACCTAGTAACCAGCACAAAGACACATAGATTTTATAAAACAGCCTAACAGGTACAATTTCGGGTTATCCAGAGGGGTCTGGTGTGGGAGTGCAGGGGCCATTTTAGGCCAGAATAGTTTATTGTAACAAAACCTAGGATTCTTTCAACCAATAACCATTTTTCAGGCCATATTGGTAAAAAAGATACCTGCAATTGTTTTTTTACATAATTGTGCAAATTTTTTAATACTTTTTTTTAATGTGATGAAACATTGCCTCCAAAATTATTTGCAAAAGTTTGGACTTCATTTAATGTAGCATGAGAAACTAACATCTGTTTTAGATATTTTTTTTCTGTTTCCTTTAGCTCTAATTCTACTTTGCATGCGCTCAAAAATGGTCACGCATGTCCAGTTAAGACTAGCTATTGCATGGGAACACTCTGCCTATTTTTCCTAATGGGTATTTAGGTACAGTGTTTTGGTCTAGTGTTCCAGTGAACCCAAATGCCTATCTCTGAATGATATCTTCTTCCCTCCTCAAATTGTGCAATTTCCATCCAATTGTGCAATTTCCATGCAGACTCAGGTGGCAGAATATAAACAACTGAAAGATACTCTGAATAGGATTCCAAGCTTTCGAAAACCTGACCAGGCAGAGCCGCAAAATGTGACCCAGGCCGCACATTCTCTACAAGGTGACAGCCCGGCAAGGGAGAGACCAACCCGGGGGCCGCAGGAGGTAAGAGGCATGGACACGTAATCTGTGGTTAGGTCTCTT